GGCCTTCCCATCAGATAACTCCTGACACCCTCTTTCCTCTCTTACTGTTTTTTGCTTTGTGTAATGTAACGTAATGTTTTTGTCACTTAGAATTCTTTATATATATATTATTGTATTATTTTATGATTGTTAGCCGCCTAGAGTGGTCCTCACCCGACCAGATAGGCGGGATGTAAATAAAATAAAATAAATAAATAAATAAGAGTTCCTAATCTTAGAGTTCCTGGTGATGTAACCCTCTGATTTCCAGAAGGTTTCAGAAATACCTAAGACTCCTATATATGTTAGCTAAGGTTCATTTATGTTCACAGACCAAGCTAAGTTTTTCTCAATCAGAAGTTACTTTCCAGATGTTGTGTTTTGAATGTTAAGATTGCAATTAGCTATTTTCTTTTGTTGGTCCAAAAAGTAATAAATTTAACAGTAAGACATTAATTTCCAAACTCTGACAATGATGCTTTTGAAACTCATCAAACACTCCAGGAAAATCAACATGGTCATAATCCTTCCATAGCCAACACAGTCCATTCATTACAGGAAGCAAGGTAGCAAAACTGCAACCCAAATTAAATGGATTTAGGGAATTTTACAGACAGCTCCTAGCTACTGGAAAAACATTCCTTCTCAATGAAAAAGACACATCTGTTGCAACAATATACAGAAACTTCTAAATCTTTAGGGTAAGAAGCATTATCATTATCCTTCCTATAGATGTTTAAATTGTCAAGAAGACATTTACTTGCCTCTTTGCGACCTTTTATCGTTTTTACAGATTTCATACTTTGGGTTCTCCGAAGACCTCTCTGAGCAAACATCTCATCTTCAGAATAAGTCCCCTCCCTGTCTTCATCTGTTTTATCATCTTCAGAATCTTTTTTCACTGGAATACTGTAACCTGAAATCATAAGGTCAAAATTCTAAATATTGTAATTTGTAGTAATTCCTTATTATTTACTTTTACAAAGGCAGACAATTCAAGTTGTTAAACTTGCATAACTCTCTCTTACTCTAAACATTAACTATGAGGTCTAAAGAACTGTGCAACTAAACCATGTATGTGAAACAGTTCTGACCATGTGTTTACTGAGAGCAGCTTTCCACAAAACATTACTTATGAAATGAAATGGGCTTTCAGTCACTATTCGTGATGACATGGACACTTACTATTCAAAGGGAAAGAAACTTCTAATTTTTTTTAATTGGGCACACTTTGTTCTTGTATGTGTATTATGTGCCATCAGATCAGAACTGACTTACAGTGACCGTAACAGAGGTTTCAAGGTAAGTGAGATATTAAAGGATTGGTTTTACCAATCTCAACAACCCCCCTTCCCATGAGTTTCAATGTCTGAACAGGAATTTAAAGAACTTCTAAGTACTAGTCTGTCACTTTATTCATTATACCACAGTCTAGCCACTTCAGCTAGTCCTCAAAATAATAATCATATTGTCAATTCTGACTCATGGTCAACCTCTTCAGAGTTTTCTAGTTACGGAGTACTCAGAAGTGATTTACTATTCTCTTCTTTTGGGGGCATCCTTTGATTGTGCAGCTTGACCAAGGCCACACAAGCTGGCTCTTCCGGGATGCAACTACATGGAACTGAACTTCCAACCTCTGGCTCTTCAATCAGTTACCTAACTCACTGAACTACCCAGTCCTTGGGTGAAGCTAAAGCAGCTTTCTGGATCTTAGCAATAGTGTTGAAACATTGAGGTACTTTCCCATTTCCCCTGTAGCTTAGCTGGAACTGCTGTGAAAACATAGCAATGCCATAGCATGTGTCTCAGGGCTGAACACAATATTAACTAATATAAAGAACCCATTAGTAGAAGATACTAACTCACCTCCAAAAAATCTTTGTTCAACTATATATACCACAAAATATGTCACACACATATATACGAATGGGGGGATTTATTTAGACTCTAATTTCATCAAAATAAAGATGTTTCTTATTGAAAACATAGACAACCTATGCAAATCATTGTCAGATGGATTAAACACTATCAGCTCAATACAAAGAGCACAAAGTGACTACAGAACTGAACAGAATTGTATTAAACAACCCTGTGCTAACCCTGTTGTAGGCAATGTGACTTTAGAAAATTATCCTGTATAGTACAATATGACCCTAGCACGACAAGCAAGTGGTGCTCATTTGGAGAATATGCATTCCTTCATTCTCCATATAATAATTCAACAGAGAGAGAAGGGACCATTATTTTTTTTCTGAGAGTATATATGAAGCAAACTGTCAGCAAGTAACATGAAACTACAACTATCTTGAGCTAATTTACAAAAACAAGGTCTCCTAAACATCCAGAAAAGTGTTCACTTTAATGCGACTGCTCACTTTTTAACAAGACATACCATTTTAAAAAAACCCCAACTCAATACTGTACCCTAGTTTTTCAGTAAAATACAAACCTAAGGATTCACTGGTAGTGCCACTTTTGCCTCTTTTTTTGGTATCAGGTAATGTTTGGTAATGCCTTTGTCCCACTGGTTCATCACCTTGTATAGCTGTTAGGTCATGCATACTGAAACTCCGCAACTTCTCCGTTATTGCCCCTTGACCCTGCAATATTAAAGAAGAGAGAGAAAAGAGAGAAATCCTGCAGTAAGAGGAATGAATGTTTTCCCCCTCTAAAGTTGCTTTGTAAGGGTTAAATACGTAATTCCACTATGACATTACATAAAGTATTTGCAGTTGCTTCTGGAATATAAGTATCTGTGAACACGCACAGAAACTGAGCTCTAATGTATAACCTTTGCAAATAGTACTGTACTTCACTAGTTATAACACATTTGAAGATTGTGTCTTGAGCAAAGTAACAGATATGACTTGTACCAATATATCATACCCTATCTAGCAGCCCTACCTAACGCCAAAGTGAATTTTATCCTAATCCCACTACATTAAGAAGAAAGTCTGGAAAACGGAGCTAAGAGCCACAACATGAGAGAGTGCGAGGAGGTTTGATGGAATGGGAGCCTAAATATTATATACTTTCCTTCAATATGATGGGTTGTGATTCATGAAGGAATGCTTTCTCTCTTTCTTTCAGCTAGGGTAGACTTAAAATATGTCAACAGCTTTCTTTTTTCTACAAATCAACATTAGGAAGAAAAGGCCTGGGAAGTCAATGGTGCGGGTAAAATAACCTATAGCCCTTCTCTAGATGGGTGAGGCCTGTAAATGTGCTGATTTGGGTTTGTGGTCTAGAATTCCTCAAAATTTTAAGGAGAATTTTCCTAACTACAATCCAAAACCACAATAGAGCATACCCCAACCGAGCACTGTTAATGTTATGTGTCATCCTCGAGTCTTGCAAACTTTCTGAGCCTTTTCCTCTCATATTCAATCTTCCTCTTTTCCTGCCTTCCACTTTCCCCAGCATTGTTTATCCAAAGTAGAACAGCCTCAATTTAATTATTTTAGTTTCTTATGAGAGTTCAGACTTGATTTGATCTTGAATCCCTTATTTTTCTAGAGGGCCATGGCATCTATTAATCTCTCTTCCAACACCACATTTTTCCCTACAGTTTTTTCATTGTCTTGTTTTCAATCCATACTTAGTAATCAGAAATACACAATATAGATTATCTCGGTTTTGTCTCCAGTAATATGTTCTTCCACTTGAAGACCTTTCTAGTTCCTTCACTGCTGCTCTTCCAAATCCCAGACTTTTTCTGATTTCTCAGCTGCATTCTCCATTTTGATGGATAAACCAAAGTACAGTGGGGTCTCTACTTAGAAAGTCCCTACTTAAGAACAATCCAACTTAAGAACAGCTCCATTTGCTAAATTTTGCTTCTACTTGAGAACAGAAATCCAAGATAAGAACAGGAAAAAAAACCTTTCCTGCTCTTTTTTTAACCTTAGGTCATCTTAGGTTAAAAAAAAATTCTCCCCCTAGTGGTAGAGTACGTATTAACCAGCTTTGCATTAGTTTCTATGGGAACTAATGCTTCAATGTACGAACGCACCTCTACATAACAAAAAAACCAGCCAGAACGGATTAATTGGTTTTCAGTCCATTCCTATGGGAAATTTTGCTTCAACTTAAGAACGTTTCAACTTAAGAACACCATTCCAAAACGGATTAAGTTCTTAAGTAGAGGTTCCACTGTACAGAAAATCTTTTCATCATTCTGGTTTCTTTACCATCAACATTAAAGTTACTTAATTCTTCTGAACACACGATGTTTATCTTAATGTTTAACATCCCCATTTATGCATTTTCTTCTACCTTCATCAGCACTCATTTCAAGTCACTATTTTCTACCAAAAACACAGTATCGCCTGCATTTATTAAATTATTAATGTTTCTTCCTCCACTTTTCATTCTGCCTTCATCTGAACCTAATACAGTTTTTCATATGATAAATTCTGCAAATAGATTGAGCAGGGATATAAAAGACACTACCATTCTTTCGTATTTTTAATATAATTTTTCAATATATTGTTTTTATCTTTTCTTTAGTTTATCCTAATCAAATACTCTGTTTCCCCTGTTGATCTTTTAACATCCCTAATGTAGGATTACATTTTCTTTATGGATTGCTTATTTTGTCACTTTTGTTGTTCTAGTCTATTTTTCACAAAGGCTATTGTAATAGCTGTCTTTCTTCCTATGTGCAAAGAACACCTGCATTTATGATTCAGATCTAATTTCTATAATAGTTTACTGTTCCTTGTCACCTGATACTGACAATTTTAAGAGTTATCGGACATCCACTTAGGCTTTTTGTTACTTCTGACTGCAGGAATAGTCCTTTTACTTTTTTCCTCCCTAATGACATCCCTGGATTTAATCATCTGGTTCACAATGAAGTTAAGAGCAGATCTCTTGTTTACATGGTCTCTGCATTCATTACAGAAGTAATTTAACAATTTTGGCATTGTAATTGTTTCAATGTTCTTCTTCACCTTTATTGTAATTTTTAATCTTAACAGTTCATGGTCTATTCTACTGTTCCTGATCTTGTATGGCAGAGAGCATGGAGTTTCTCCATTATTTGCTTTTGATTTCTACACTGGTTTGTATTTTTGAAATGAACAGATTGACACCTTTGCAGAATTCTATTCCATTTTAAATTGCTTACATCAAGCATTACAGTATTTAAATGCTCAATCTGTTATGATTTAAAACTTTCCTTGATTCATGCTTTTCACATTCCATGTTCCAATTATATTTGTATTTCCGCATCAGACTTTAATTTTGCTAGTGTCCACATCAGCAAGTAGATATCCTTTCAGCTTTAATCCAGTTGCCTCACCAGTGACTATTGATACATATCTTCTGCTTTGCTGGCTGAATGCCTTGTGACCTATGATTTTCATCTTCCAGAACTATTTTTTGTTTCATTTTCAATTGCCTTCTCATAGATATTTCAAGGTATAACTATTCCAAAGTGATTTGTATTACTTTGTGATGTGCAGTACTAACAAGAGGTGGTTTGGGTGTCACTGTCCATGAAAGATCCTCTGTCAGAGTACCCTTCCATTGCTATTGTCGCCCTTCCTGTCCCCCAAACCCCCGAACTACGAAGTATCTTCTACCAATATAACTGTTCATTCTAGAAGATGAATGTATCTTAGTCTGGGGTCTCAGATTTGACAATTCCACCTTGGTGATTCTACTACAAGTCTAGACTCATAATGGAGTCTAGCCTCCTGACAGTATTTGCATTCTTGATGTGCTCAGAATTTTTTTACTGCTTTAAGATATGCATGTAAGAGCGGAGACAAAGCACTGTGAGAAAGGAAAATGAGAAGCAGTTTTGCTGCATACTATATGAAGCTTGTACTGTCTAATTAAAGTCTTGAACATGGCAGGAACAGTAATAATGGCAGCCATAAGCAAGCAACACAAGATGCAATCTGAGCCACTCACCATGCTGTATTTATTTAAGCTGCAAGACATACAGCAAACCAGTCTTGACAATGCCCCAAATTGAAAGGTTAGGATCACTGCCTGAATCTTAGGTAAAATTCCTCATACATATCTAGGTTGCATCTGTAAGAACACATGGTCGCTGTGTAGGCAGTGTACTGATTTAGGTGGCAACTTTTGTGTTTTTTGCACTGCAACTGCTAGAATTCACCAGGAATTCCCCCAGCCAAAATTCTGGGAGCTACAAGCAAGAAATCAAATTCTTCAGGAGAGGTTTCAATCATTCACAAGTACAGATGGGCATGAACAACTAATTTGTCTGTCCTTTGGACAAGCACGTGTTCGGCGCTTCCTAGCCCTGCCTTCTTCAACGGGTGCCCACTCAAAGGTGGCACTCTGGAGAGGCAGAAAAGCTGGGGGAACTGCCTGGATGGGGGGGGTTGGGAACCGCTAAACACCTGCTTGTCTGAAGGACGAATCAGCACAAACTGCCAAACCAGTGGCTTGTGCCCATCTCTATTCACAGTTACAGGCCTCAGAAATTCGCCTCAGTGACCTACATTTTGGCTGTGAAGAAAAAAAGAAGTGTTTAAGAGTAGCTAAGCTGCAGGGGTGCCACAACTGCTAGCTTCTCTGCCAGTTAGATTCTGTACAGGATCTTTTTCAAAAGGTTAATCTCTGGCAGCAATTTCTTTTTTCCCTGTAGCTCCCAGAATTTTGATTGATGGATTTACCATTGAGTTCTGGAGTTGCAGTGCAAAAAGTACAAAAGTCCCATGCCTATGGTAATTCTAAAGAGTCATTAAATGAAACATGGCATTATGTGCCACATATAAAAATGTTGTATAATCTACTGTTGCAAGGATGAATTTCAGTAAGCCTTGGACTCAAATATTCCACCTCCTCCTCCAGCACAATTGTGCAGTTTGAAAATGTTTACTTCTATATTCGGTTAACTCACTTTCAGTGACTACTGCACAATTCCTTACAATTTAATATCTAACTGAACTGAAGATTCATCTCTTATGTTGGTTCAGCAGGCTTCCACACTATTTATTGTATTTTATTCTCTGCTGGGAGGAAAGGGTTATGTCTACCACTGTTTTTAGCCACACAGCAGAAGGCAAGCCCTTATTTTCTCTAATGGAGCAATGTCCACAACATGCCTGTGACTGCTTCTGAAGTAATCCATAATAAGTAGCAACATTCATTTAAAATTATTTATCCTTTATATAAAAGAATAAACTGTGTGGCTGCAGAGGCCATTGGAACTACTATACAGAAAATGTGCATCTGTAGTAAGGTTTTAGACCTCACTCCCTTCATGAGAACTGCCAATAAGAAGAAGAGTGCAGCTTATGTAGCAGATGGACCTCCTTGTATCCAGCATGAAATATCTGAGGATTTGCTTCACTGGCATTAAGGAATGAAATTTAGCAAGCATAAGTACTTTTTGATTGTGGTGCTCAGCCTTAACAAATGCACAACCCAAGGAGGCTTGCCAAACAATCTAGGTTCTAGGTACCAGATTAATGTGATTCTTGAAGAAGGCTGCAGATCTGATAGTTTCCCAGTCTGTGGCTTGAATCTCAGTAAGTGCTGCACGTTTACTTTAATAATTGAATGCAATGAAGAAACAAGCATAGGGGAAATACGCTACTCTCAGTGACCAAAATGATCTTGAATAACTTACACCAGCGTAGAGAAAATAACATTGCTGGCAGCAGCAGAGTGTCACTAATCAAAGTGTTTCTTTTCAGTCCGCATTGCTTCCACTTTCAAGCAGCAAGTTCTTTAATTAGTGGTGATCTGCCACTGCAATTCATATTATCTCCCCAATGCCAGGATAAATTACTCAACAGAATTTTGGTCACTATTTAAGCGGCAAAACTATCTGGGGTTTGGCATACAAAGTCTAAGGGAATACACATGAAGAAACATATCTGACTTTATAGGAATGCTTTATATTCAGTAAGAGTGTGGGGGATTGCTGAAAAGATCTCTCCTGAATACACAGCTCCACTGGACTCTTAAGTACTGTACTTTTTGTGTAACAGACCACCCTCCCCAAAGAAGAAATAGGAAGAAATTCAATATGTACCACAAATGCCCCTGAAGAAGGTCAACTGTCTGGACCAAAATGCATTGGGCATGTTTTAAATTGTAATAAAACTATATTTTTATACATTCCATGACTTCAGGCTGTCTTTTATAATATAGATCTATTGGATGTCATCAGGTTATTTTGGTTTTTTTAAAATAAAAAATTGCTTCAAGTATTAAAAACAGACAGTTCTACTATTATGACTATTCTTCGAGAAAGCTGTAAGACTGAGAGAAACAACTGTGAGCAACAATATAATTCCCCCCCCCAAAAAAATTATATTTGCATCTTCAGCTTGTTTCCTGCTGCTATGGAAACCAAAGCCATCTTCCACTTATTCACGGGAGCTTATTACAGTTAATATTCAAACTTTCCATCTATTCTAGTCAAAGACATGGTCAAAAAAGTGTACAGTTTTTCTCTCTGTATTATTGTAATTACAAGATATATCTTCATTAGCACACATTCACTGCATGCCTAATTATAGGAAGGGCCAAGTTACCTATTACAGACAGGCAGGTTACAGAAAGCCTGGCGTACCTCTGATTATGGCAAATGAAACCGCACATATTAATATTTTTTAATATTACACAACTCTAAGCAAGAGCAGTTCAAGTTCAAGTAGCAAACTAATGATTTTATTCTAGAAAGTAAAGAATTCAATGGGGATTTATATTAATCTCCTACTCATATATAGGGTAGCATTATTTCATGCTTTAATTTTTCATGAGCAATTACCTCAACTTGATTGAAGGAAAACAGCAGAAAGAAGCCAGAAATCCTACAGAGTAGGATTATCAGTAAGAAAGGCAACAAGAGAGAAAGAAAAGGGTCATCTTTACTTTTAAAAAATACATACTATAACCAAAGTATCAGAGAACATACTTTCAGATCATACTGCTGAGAAAGTTCGCCCTCTCTTCTATATATATGTGCAGCCACACAGCCAATGTTTATGCCAAACCGTCAGCATGGAATATTACTTACCTTTACAGCAGCAGTCACAGCAGCCGCAGCAGCTAAATTCAAACTTTGTTTACCAAAATTAACCATAGTTTCATAGCCACGTTCTTTGGCTTGCACAATATAGTCATCTATTTCCTGAGGGAGGAAAAGCACACAATGTAGTACAGATAAGAACCTAATTTCATACTTGTAATCCACCACACTCTCATTATTTAGTGCTAAATACAAAATATTAATGCAAGTCTCTCTTCCACCAACATGCATCAACTGCATAACTCAAACAAGGAGTGAGGGATGGTATCTCACCCTTTCCTTTGAAGAAAGAAGAGGATGAAGAAACTTTCGATATATTAAGCTTGCCCCTCTGGTGTATGGAGAAAGCAACCAAATCACAAAAGCAATCTTCAGCTCATAATACAGTGGAAACCTGCAAAACACAGTTAAAATTCCAAAATCTCATTATAGGATTTCTAGAACTAACCACATTCTGTCTAATATAATTATTTTAGGATGAAACCAATTAGCACAGGGTTTAAGCTTAATTTTTCTCTGAACTTTTCCAGGATCAGGCCAGGTGACAGAAACAAGAACATGGTACACACTTAAAAAAAACAACACCAAACAGAACTAGTGTTGATAGCCTTGAAGAAAAATGTTTTCAAATTTCAGGACCAATATTATTTTGGCAGACCTGAGGAGAAGCCCTGACTAGTATAGTGGCACAAGATACAGCTGACCTGAATACTGAACTCTATGCAAAACAAATTATTTCTCTTGAGAATTCTTTTTCCAAGTACTTGGCGAGATGGGAGAAGTATACTGATTATGTCTTTTACATCTTACAGTAAGCATATTTTGAAAAGTTTTTGAAACGGTGAATTCACCGAATGAACATATTTAATGCACACTGTAATGTCAAAACTTGATGTTTTGAATTTAAACATCCAAAAAGGGCAATAGCATGAGTTCTAAACAGAAAACTACTTGGTAACAACATCTGTCTTAGATTTGAGAGCTCACACCCCAGATCCCTTCAAAATAATATAGCACACAGTCAGATTTCAAGAACAAGACAAAAAGGATGGTAAAATCTTGAGTCATTCTCAAAAACAGTAGCACCTTGGTTTACGAACGCCTTGGTTAACATAATTTTCAGTTTATAAATGGAAATCCATAGAATATAATGCCTCGGTCTGTGATTATTTCCCGCAGTACAAAGGAAGTTTCCCCAAGATGCATTGTGCCTGAAGGTTTATAGAACCCCCACATCCGTTCCTATGGCAAACTGTGTTTCGGTTTTAAAACTTTCCGCATTATGTAACGCCCCGGATACATAAACGGAGGTACTACAGTACTAAATAGACAATTTACCAACAGGGGCTACCCTGTGACAGATGGTTTCCATTAAGACTACATAACAAACATGTTCATACCTTATGAAGAAACAACAGAAGGAACAACCTAGCTGTGTTAACTACACTCCAAACATTGAACTCCTCATTGTGCCATAGAAGATAGAGTTATGGACTAGGACTTAGGGGACAAGTACAAGTAGCTCCAGAGCTAATGAAGTGCTTGGGATAAAAGCCAAAAGGATGCTCACCTGCGGACACGCCTGGAAGTGAAAGGAAAGTCTGATCCTGCAAAGAAAAATACTGCACAGGAACCTGGAATGTAAGATCTATGAACCTGGGTAAGCTGGATGTGGTCAAACAAGAGATGGCAACAATAAACATTGACATCCTGGGTGTCAGTGAACTAAAATGGACAAGAATGGGCGAATTGAATTCAGACGATTATCATATCTACTATTGTGAGCAAGAATCCCGTAGAGGAAATCGAGTAGCCCTCATAATCAACAAAAGAGTGGGAAAAGCTGCACTGGGATACAATCTCAAAAATGATAGAATGATTTCAAAACGAATCCAAGGCAGACCTTTCAACATCACAGTAATCCAAGTTTATGCACCAATCACCAATGCGGAAGAGGCTGAAGCTGACCAGTTCTATGAAGACTTACAACACCTTCTAGAACTGACACTAAAGAAAGATGTTCTTCTCATTATAGGGGATTGGAATGCTAAAATAGGGAGTCAAGAGAGAAAAGGAACAACAGGTACGTTTGGTCTTCGAGTTCAAAACGAAGCAGGGCAAAAGCTAATAAGAGTTTTGTCAAAAGAACAAGCTGGTCATCATAAACACTCTTTTCCAACAACACAAGAGGCGACTCTACACATGGACATCACCAGATGGGCAATACCAAAATCAGGTTGATTATATTTTCTGCAGTCAAAGATGGAGAAACTCTATACAATCAGAAAAACAAGACCTGGAGCTGATTGTGGCTCTGATCATTAGCTTCTTATAACAAAATTCAAGATTAAACTGAAGAGAGTAGGAAAAACCACTGGGCTACTCAGGTATAATCTAAACCAAATTCCTTGTGAATACACAGTGGAAGTGAAGAACGGATTTAAGGAACTCCATTTGATGGACAGAGTGCCTGAAGAACTATGGATGGAGGCTCATAACATTGTATAGGAGGAAGCAACAAAAACCATCTGAAAGAAAACGAAATGCAAGAAAGCAAAATGGCTGCCCAATGAGGCCTTACAAATAGCAGAAAAGAGAACGGAAACAAAATGAAAGGGGAGATAGAGAAAGTTACAGAAAATTGAATGTAGACATCCAAAGAATAGCAAGGAGAGGAAAGGGCTTTCTTAAAGGAAAAGTGCGAAGAAATAGAGGAAAACAATATACAGATCTAGATGTCCCAGACAAACCAGATAGTGTGGCTGCTGACCTTGAGCCAGACATCCTGGAGAGTGAAGTCAAGTAGGCCTTAGAAAGCATGGCTAAAAGCAAGGCCAGTGGAGGTGATGGCATTCCAGTTGAACTATTTAAAATCTTAAAAGATGACCCTGTTAAAGTGCTACACTCAATATGCCAGCAAGTTTGGAAAACTCAGCAGCGGCCAGAGGATCAGAAAAGATCAGTCCACATCCTAATCCCAAAGAAGGGCAGTGCCAAAGAATGTTCCAACTTACCATACATTTGCACTCATTTCACACCCTAGCAAAGTTATGCTCAAAATCCTACAAGATAGGCTTCAGCAGTCTGTGGACTGAGAACTCCCAGAAGTACAAGCTGGATTTCGAAGGGGCAGAGGAACTCGAGACCAAATTGCTAACATGCGCTGGATTATGGAGAAAACCAGAGAGTTCCAGAAAAACATCTACTTCTGCTTCATTGACTACGCAAAAGCCTTTGATGGTGTGGACCACAGCAAACTATGGCAAGTCCTTAAAGAAATGGGAGTGCCTGACCACCTTATCTATCTCCTCAGAAATCTATATGTGGGACAGGAAGTCACAGTTAGAACTGGATATGGAACAAATGATTTGTTCAAAATTAGGAAAAGAGTACGACAAGGCTGTATATTGTCTCCCTGCTTATTTAACTTATATGCAGAATACATCATGCGAAAGACTGGACTCGAGGAATCCCAAGCTGGAATTAAGACTGCCAGAAGAAATACCACTCTGATGGCAGAAAGTGAGGAGGAATTAAAGAACCTCTTAATGAGGGTGAAAGAGGAGAGCGCCCAGAGACCTTCGGGTAGTGTGGGCGGCATATAAGTTAAACAAACAAACAAACAAATAAATAAATTTTAAAAATGGCCTGAAGCTCAACATCAAAAAAAATAAAAATAAAATAAAAAATAAAATAAAATAAAAAAAAAAACTAAGATAATGGCCACAGGTCCCATCACCTCCTGGCAAATTAGTAGGGGAAGATATGGAGGCAGTGACGGATTTTACTTTCTTGGGCTCCATGATCACTGCAGATGGGGACAGCAGCCACGAAACTAAAAGACTCCTGCTTCTTGGGAGGAAAGCGATGACAAATCTAGATAGCATCTTAAAAAGCAGAAACATCACCTTGTCAACAAAAGCTATGGTTTTTCCAGTAGCAATGTATGGAAGTGAGAGCTGGTCCATAAAGAAGGCTGACTGCAGAAGAATTGATGCTTTTGAATTGTGGTGCTGGAGGAGACTCTTGTGAGTCCCCTGGACTGCAAGAAGATCAAACCTATCAATTCTAAAGGAAATCAACCCCAAGTGTTCACTGGAAGGACAGATTCTGAAGCTGAGGTTCCAATATTTTGGCCATTTCATGAGAAGAGAAGACTCCCTGGAAAAGACCCTGATGTTGGGAAAGTGTGACGGGCTAGAGGAGAAGGGATGACAGAGGATGAGATGGTTGGACAGTATCATCGAAGCTACCACCATGAATTTGACCAAACTCTGGGAGGCAGTGGAACAGTCTGGCGTGCTCTGGTCCATGGGGTCATTAAGAGTCGGACACGACTTAACGATTAGACTATAACAAGAAAGGTCCTGGAATTCAATATCCAAAACTCTTCTTTTAATAATTTGGAAAGCAATATAAGGTAGCACTGGCACATTTTGTAAAATATACCTGGATGCTAAAAAAACCTTTTTAAAAAAAATGAATCAGGAATTTAAATGATATACTCATCAACATTCATGCACCTCCACATTCTATCAATCTCAGTGCCACCTATGGGTTCTTACCCTTATGGTAAGCAGGTTCACTACAAACACACTTTTAGACAAAACAGTTCAGCACACTGCCAGGGGAGGGAAATAGGCCCTACAACATTGTTCACATGAAGAACGAACATTGTGCTCATGGAATGTGCAATTCATACTGTTCAGTGCTTCTGTAAAAATACAGCATTTGGGGAGAAAACCATCTTGGGACCTTGGGAAAAAACTGGGAGTAGCTGTGCAGTATCAGAAAAAGGAAAGTGGGTGCCCCACTGGTGCAGTACTTTTAAGAAAAGAGATGAAAAGAGACGACATAATGTTCTGGACAACTCATGATAGAGTCCTTTTGAAAATGAAGTGGAGTGGATTTTTAGATTAAAAATTTTAACTGCAGAAGGACCAAATCAGGACACTTCCTTCTTCTTCCTTAATGATCTTTTAAAACCAACAAAAGATTTTATTTTCCTTTGGAGATGGTCCTTAAGTCTTTTTCTTTTGTTTATAGCAAATTTAGTACAGGATTTTTCTTTGGCAATATCTCCTGAAACCCTTAATTATAATGGTACCAATAACGTATGTCCTCACTATGTAAGCATGCTTCCTTGATGCCTCTCAGCCTTTAGTATTGTCTTTAAATTATTATGCATGTTTATTAACTGTTTTTCAAATATTTTTTTAAAACATTTTATATAAATTTAAATGAATTTTAATGTTGTTTATTTTTTATTTATATATTTAAAGTATTTTAATATTTTAATTTAACCCCAAAGGGGTTAATTTAACCCACAAAAGTTCTACACATTTTAGTGTTGGGCTTTACAGTGATATGGATCTTACCAAGAGATCATGATATCCGCTATTGTTTCTGTAACAGTGTACAAAGCAAACACAATCCAGTACATCATCCACCGCACCTAAGAATAAAAGATGAGATGAAAGATGTAAATTTTAAGACAGACATTACAGTTTCAAACAAATATGCAGGTTTGCTATTTGTATTTATACATATAAAAGTAGCTCAAATCTGACCAACCTCTCCCGAAAATGAAAAAAATGCATATTCAAGTGGCTATTGATGTATAGCTATTTATTTATTATTTCTTTGAAATATTTCTCTCCTGCCTTTCTCCCCAGAAGGACTGAAGGTGGCTTAATAATTAAAATAGTATTTAAAAGCTAAAAAATAAATAAATTTATATACAAGTATCAAAAAAGAATTAAACAAGTATTATATTAAAATGGTAACTAAGACCAATATTAAAACAACAGAGCACAACAGTCCATTTAAAACTGCTCTCAGACTACAAATCATTAAGGAAAAACCTGCCTGCAGAAGGACAGCAAAGATGGGGCCAGCTTAGCTTCCCGCGGGAGGGAGATCCAGAGTTTGGAAGCAGCAACAGAAAAGGCCCTCTTCCATGTCCCTACCAAGTGCACCTGTGAGGATGGTGGGACTGAGAAAGGGCAGGCTCACAGAGGGAGATGCGGTCTTTCAGCAAGCTTGGACCCAAGCCTTGTAGGGCTTTGTAGGTTAAAACCAGCACTCTGAATTCTGCCCAGAAACAGATCAGCAGCCAGTGGAGGTGCTGTAACAGAGGAGTTATATGTTTCCTGTAACCAGCCCCAGTTAACAATCTGGCGGTGGTATTTGGACCCATTGAAATTTTCTAACATGTTCCAAAGGCAGCCCCACATACAGCACATTACAGGAATCCAACCAAAATGTAACTAGGGCATGTGTCACTGTGGCCAGATCACACCTCTCAAGAACTTGGTGCAGCTGCCGCACTAGTTTTAACTGTGTAAAGGCACTCCTGGCCACTGCTGAAACCTGGGCATCCAGGCTCAGGGATGAATCTAGGAACACCCCCAAGCTGTATTTTCAGAGACAGTGTAACTCTGTCCAACATAGGCTGCAACCTAGTCCTTGATGGTTTTCAACCAACCAGGATCACATCTGTCTTATCTGGATTAAGTTTCAGTTGATTCACCCTCACCCAGTCCATTACTGACACCAGACACAGATTTAGAATTAAAACAGCTTCCTTGGATTTAGATGGGAAGGAGAGATAGAGTTGGGTCTCATTAGTGTACTGGTGACACCGATTCTAAAACTCTGGACAATCTCTCCCAGTGGTTTCATGTAGAGGTTAAACAGCAGAGGAGACAAAACAGATCCCTGAGGGATACCAAATCAACTGCTAGGGTGTTGAACAAGAGATCTGTGACATTTGCCCTAGTGGTCCTGCTTGTCTCCCTCAAACACAGAGCTCACAAAGGCAAACCAAAACACCTCTTGACATGCTGCCACCAGCTGATCTCCTTATCAATGTACTTTACTTAGAAAACATGACGGCCCATTCAGTACTGACTTTTTAATCGAACAGGTTTATTGATTACAGTGGGTTTCTGGAACAATTCATAAGCACAATCTTCAAGTTTCATCAAGCTTCAATATTAACCTTCTATAGTTATTATTACAATGTACACTCAGACTAATCACTCCTCAGACCCCGAACTATCCTTCTCTCCCTCATTCCTAACACAGACTCCCCCTCTAACTCCTCTCAGGCTCCGCCATTTAACATCTCTTTAGGCCCCACCTCTTAACCACATTAGCATATCTCATGAATAATACATAACTTATTGCATAATAAGGGTGAACGCTAGAAGACCCACAGCACCACCCTCTGAGTTCTCCCTTCAAGGAAGGACCGGAGCCACTCTGAAACAGTGCCTCCACGTCCCAACTCAGAGAGATGACCCAGAAAGATATAATGTTCAATGGTACTGAAAGAAAGGGACGTGGTGGCGCTGTGGGCTAAACCGCAGAAGCCTGTGCTGCAGGGTCAGAAGACCAAGCAGTCGTAAGATCAAATCCACGTGACAGAGTGAGCGCCCGTCGCTTGTCCCAGCTCCCGCCAACCTGGTGGTTCGAAAGCATGCAAATGCGAGTAGATAAATAGGGACCAACTCGGTGGGAAGGTAACAGCGTTCCGTGTCTAAGTCGCACTAGCCATGTGACCACGGAAGATTGTCTTCGGACAAACGCTGGCTCTATGGCTTGGAAAGGGGGATGAGCATTGACCCCTAGAGTTGAACACGACTGGACAAAAACTGTCAAGGGAAACTTTAACCTTTTTCAAAAAGTTATTACAGTGGTGCCTCGCATTACGTTAATTCATTCCAGCGAAATCGCTGTAGAATGAAAACGTGGTAAAGCCAAATTAAAAAGCCCATAGAAACGCATTAAAACCCGTTTAATGCGTTCCGATGGGCTGGAAACTCACTGTCCAGCGAAGATCCTCCATAGGGTGGCCATTTTCGCTGCCTATGCAGTGAGGAATCTGTCCCAGAAAACAGTGGGGGACCATTTTGGTTACCTGGTGGCCATTTTGAAAACGCCGATCAGCTGTCCGAAAATCATCGTTTTGCGAAGAATCGGTTCCTGAAGCAGGGAACTGATCATCGCAAAGTGAAATTCCCCCATAGGAAACATCGTAAAGCAATCGCAAAAGCGATCGCAAAAAGTTTGTCGTAATGCAGTTTCGTCGTAAAACGGAGCAATCGTAAAGTGAGGCACCACTGTATTATAAGCCAGTGATGTGTAATATATCTCTATCCCATGAAGCTTGCAGTGTAAACAAACATGACTGTACTGTTGACACCTTCAATAAGCTGTGTTCATTCATACATTCTATTTGTCATCACCTAGCTCCTCCCATTAGTGGCTAAAGTGATCAGCAACTGAAAGCTTCCAATGATGTCCAAAGTGGGGCTCCTACCTTGTTGCTGCCAAGCATGGATTCATAAATCCAAAACAAATTGTGGTCTGGTACCCCCCAATCTGTGAAGGGCTAAGTAAATGAAGTGAAAGTAAGTGCTTGGAAGTGAAAGGAAAGTCCGATAGTGCGAAGAAAAACACTGCATAGGAACTTGGAATGTAAGATCTATGAACCTGGATAAGTTGGATGTGGTCAAACAGGAGACGGCAAGAATAAACACTGACATCCTGGGCGTCAGTGAACTAAAATGTACGGGCATGGGCAAATTCAATTCAGACGCTTATTATATCTACAATTGCCGGGGTATATTCCCAAACACAAGCCAAGATATGAATGATAGTTTACACGCACCCAGAAACACATCTCTTCACTCTCCCTTTCAAACGACTGAGTCAGGAAATCTCTAATCAACCAGTTTCCCGTTTTGTTCAGATAAGATTATGGTTACCAGCTTCAGAAGTTACTACCTTAAATTTGAAACTGTAGCTCAAAAAATGATAATCAGTTTTTACCAGTTCTGACAGACCTGATTAATTAAGGGGCTTCCTGATTTAGTTGGAACTCACATCAAGGGAGAAGCAAAAAGGCTGCATGCATAGGGAAACCATTTTATTAAGTCAATATACAGTCAGGTGAAAACAGCCAGTAAAAGTAATAAGAGTAGAAAATACAGAAGTACAAGCTGGACAGAGTTATTTGATGTGGTTTTGAATAGAACCCAAATTTGCAAAGCATGTGCGTGGTGGATGAAAAAAGCATATCCAGTTTGCAACCACAATCTGAGTAACTGTCTATGGCATTTGCCACATGAAAAATGAACAGCAATATGAAGTTTAAGGAAATGCCCCAGAAGATGTTCTCTGCCTACATTTCCTACACATTCTTAATATCAGGTACTGTACTTTAGAGGAGCTGCCTGAAGAGATCTATTATTATCCACACTGTTCTAATGAGCACCACAAAAATAGACAGATGCTATTTCCCTTTTTAAGAAAACAGGATGTGTTGGCAAGTCCAATTCTTATTATTGCAAGATATATTACTTTAAGGTGCCACCGCATCACCAGTTAAGACTATTGTAAATAAAAATCAGATGTGTAAACACTGAATTTAAAAAGACTTTGTTTTTACAGCTAACTCTGTAAGAGACAAGATGCAATTTATTTATCAATCAATCAAAGCCTCCTCTGATTAATTGCTGAGAGCTAATTTTAATCAGCAAGGGCATGTTTTATTTGGTGATATGCAAATTTACTTAATCAGTTAATGGTATATTTAATATGCATACAATTAAAGGCTATAATCCTGTAATACCTCCCAGTCCTTACTTTCTTTATATCTAAGTGTTCCACAATTGAAAATTATAGACATTTATCAAATATAAAATTCAAACAAATTTTAAATGATTAAACTATTTTGGCCTTAAATAGGCTACTTCAACAGAGTTATGTCAGCCATTTGCTAGATCTTCTTTAATACACTTGGTGGGACAGAAATTGCATGCACATAAGTATGGCATTGACTGAATTTTTCCACATTCATAATTTCTGCTGTATGCAAGTAGAAACATTTTACTTGAACATTCTTTAATTTTCCTACTTATCTTCAAAGTTTATTCAGTGTCTTCCAGATGGTCCATCCAGAATCTTGTCTTAATGGGAGACACTCTTTGGCATTCACCAATATATGTTGTTTTTGTTATCCATAAATTTAGCCTACCTTATTCTGGTTTAATATTTATAGGATGAGATGTGTGCAGAAAACTCTTCCTCAGTTTTAACCATAGTCTACATGGCTGGTGTCCAAGAAGTGGATGTATTTGATGTTATATTACCTTGTTTCCTTCAATGTTTGCTAGCACCACTCAACATACTTCCAAGAGGCAATGCCAGCCAAATGATGTTTTCAGTGAGCATAGGTTTTAGGCAGCCAGTAATAAGAGGTTACTTACCTGTAACCATGGCTCTTCAAGTGGTCCTCTGTGAATCCACACAAATGGCTCAGTCTGCGCTTGCATATGTGAGTCCAGCGCAAGCACAGACTGAACCCATTTGTGTGGGTTCACAGAGGCCACAAAGAAGAATCCTGCACAATTCTTTAAGAGCTATATCCACTTGTCTGGGATATCC